ATGTCAAGGAAAGATAAATAAAAATCCAAGAACCAAAAAAAAATTTTCAAAGTAGCAGACTTGTAGAAATTTAAATCAAATTACAAAACTGTCTTTATAAATTGTGTAGGTGAGCTGTATGTGATTGTGGAATACTGTCATTTTGGAAACCTTCGGTCTTATCTACTGAAACATAAGGAAGAATTCCGAGACGTAATGGAGGACTACATGGACCCAGCCCATCAGAAAAAACGCGAGGCAGCCCGAGAAGCGGCCGCCAATAAGCCATACTACTTAAACAAGGCTCAGATAGAGAACACCGCCGACCTAGTGGGGCCTCCACTGACCACTAAAAACCTCATCTGCTGGTCATTCCAGGTGGCCCGAGGGATGGAGTACCTGGCCTCCAAAAAAGTAAGGCAGTCAGTACACAGAGGTAGCTAAACAGGACTGGACTGTATGTTTGTTCTAGTCTCAGTCATTACCTTTAGTTTGTTAATATTCTATTCTCACCTTCATTTCATTTTCATTTTAAGTGAAATATGCTTTGTTATGCATGATTTTGAATCAAATTAAGCCAATATTTTGAAAGTGTTTTTGAATTTGAAACATATCTATTGATTGTAATGTGAAGATTAAATAAGATATTTTGTATATTATATATATTACTGGTACATGAAAATTTGATAATAAAGAAATGTTTAATTCCAGTATATACACAGAGATCTGGCAGCAAGAAATGTTCTTTTAGCTGAGGACAACATCGTCAAAATATGTGACTTTGGGTTAGCCAAGGATTTGTACAATAATCCAGAATATCTAAAGAAAACAGATGTAAGGGTTTGGTTAACTCCTATCTGACTGCCTTTGATATTGAAGTTTTTAGTTTTCTTAGCGGAATCTTTCTCAGACTTGGACTGTCCTGTATCAGATTGTGATGTTGTTAACTTATTCTTTAACCCTTCTTTTGATATTAACAAAATCTTATGAAATCTTGAACTGCAGTCAGATAGTGATGAATGATAAATTATATTATTAGTATAATTGTTTTTAACAACAGTTGTTCCAGGATTTGATTTTATGCACAAAGCTTTTCATCACAGAATAATCTCTCTGTACATTAGATTCTGTTTGACCTTGACTTTTCTAGGATTGTAAAACTCACTGTTTAACTTGACCAGTCTCTGATTTAATCAACTCATTTTTTGAAAGTATATGTAATAGAATCTTATCTTGATTTTTAAAACAGGGACCAGTTCCTGTGAAATGGATGGCTATTGAATCTCTAACTCACAGACTCTACACCACAAAGAGTGATGTGTAAGTTCACATGAATGTATTCATTTTATCAAGGTTACTGTGCATTCTTTGTGTGATAAAAGTATGTCCCTAACATTATTTTTAAGGGAAGCATGATAAGTAAATTCCTTGATATAATTTTAAAACATCTCTAATTTTGTGATTTATCAGGTGGTCGTATGGTGTCTTTCTATGGGAGTTATTTTCTCTGGGTGAGTAGTAATCAATGACTTTTTCTGAGGTGATCATGTGATGTAAGTAGGCATTATGTCTAAGTTAACAACTCGTTTGTGATTTACAGGTGGTAGTCCGTACCCTGGGGTGGAAATTAATGAGAAGTTTATCGGACTCCTTCAGGATGGATACAGAATGGAGAAGCCACGATATGCCACAGATGAAATGTATGTAGAAAACAGAGAATAATGATTTGTGGGGAAATTCTGAAGGTCTTGTCAAATTTTGCCAATATCTTTGAATTAAATATTTAAATGAATGGAATGATCAGCTTTATAATAAGTCATTTCTGTTTTAGGTACAAGGTCATGCAGGCGACCTGGAGGGATGACCCAGAGGACAGACCTACTTTTACACAGCTGGCCAACATCATGGGTGATTTCCTGGAAGAAAATGTCAAACAGGTAAGGCAAGCTAGGAAAGTCCAGTTCGGGAAAAAAACTAATGAGAAAAAATACAGCACTGTACCTGAAATCTTGCCATTATATTTTATTTTTGTAGATTTTATAAAATTAGATCCACCAATCTATCAGTAATATAAAGAGAATTAATCATATGGATTTATCACTTACAAATTTTCTGATTCCATTGAACAGTATTATTTGGATCTGAATGAGCCGTATCTTAAGATGGTGGACCTTGAGGGCGGGGCTTGTGGGGGACCAGAGAGTGAGGGCTACCTTAAAATGAGTGACAGAGACAAAAAGTCAGACTACCTTAAAATGGGGCTGGCCCCTCCCCCACCGGTGGACCAGGAAGAGTATGATGGAGGTGTGTCTTATGTGAATGAGAAAAAATGGAACAAAAAGAAAGAGAAGGGAGATTCTATGGAGCTTCAGCCTCTGACAAAATCTATGGAGGAAGAGGAGGAGGTACAACTCCGTAAAAAAGATCGGGAAAATTCTCCCTCCAACACAAACATGCGTGTGGATGTTCACAGAAGTGATGATACAGATAGCGGACATTCCAGTACATACGCACCGGGCACACCGCCAGATGTCGGAAATGACGGCTACCTTGTACCAAAGATGGGACCAGATCAAACTCAGGTGTTTGTATTGAAGAACAAATCAAGTCCACCTAAAAATAAATCTAAGTGCAGCGAGTTTACGAAGGATTATCACGACCCCCCGCCCACGTACTCAACAGTATTACAGGACAGTGATATCGATGTTTGATGCTATAAAAGCTGACTCCAAGAATCAGCCTTGTCTTGTCTTTTATTTACTAGTAGTGCTTATTAAATTAGTGAAAGGAAACCCTTATATTTGGCATTGAAATTTCCTTTTTGAAATGTTCTACATGAAATTTCTACTTTTTTTACAACATTTTCTGTGCCTGATCAAAGCAACCCAAATCTATTTATGTTTTTACTATTATAAGAATGTACTAGTCCTGAATTAATTAAGATTTTTGCTTGTAGATAGACATGTATTGAATGATAAACATGTATCAACTACTGACTGTAAATACTGTATAGTAGAGTAGTGTCTAATGAAACTGCCCAACTTGTTACCAGCATTATCAGCATTATTTTGTACACTGTAGGTTGTTAAGATCTCCTGTAGCATAATTCATTGTGAATAGTTATAATTATATTGTTTTATTGTCTGAATACATTTACAAAATGGCATGTAGAACACTGGGAAAAGGAATGGGAATTTTCATTGTGTTCAATTTGACTTTTATCAAAGATTATCCAATGGCATTGAACAATCTGGAATAAGTGAGCAGAAACATTTTTATCAATTAGGAAATGATTCACTGTTTCTTGGAAAAATAAATTGACATATTTACATAATAGAAACACAGTAGATGGAGATGTCAGGAATGAAAAAATGATTTTTAGGTTATTATTAATTCTTGTAAATGTATATTAACTCTTATCAATTACTGCACCTGATGTATTTGGTGGATTACTTTTTTCATATACAAGTACCGTACCTATTTTGTATGGTAATTATAAGCTTTCTGCTTGCACACGAGTATTTGTTGTTTACAGCAAATTTGTTTTTTCATATATATGTACCCCGGTACAGACCTGTTGTTTACAGTAAGTTTGTTTTTATTTGTCTTACAAGTACATGTATCTGATAAGATTGTTTTCCTTATAAGTAATTGTTGTATATGGTTTAGATTGTTTTTAATTACAAGAATGTGTTGTATACAGTAAGACTGGTTTTATCTACAATAACCTGTTGTAAAGGGTAACATTGTTTTTCCACACAAGCACCTGTTGTTGATTGTTTGTTGAAACAAACACCAGTAGTCTACAATCATTAGGTTTTATTAGCTTTAACTGCTTTTTAACTTTACAATACTGTGGTTTTATTTTAGAATCTCACATTTGCCTTGAGACTGTCACCATATGCATATCCCAAATTCTTCCTTAATTTTCTTGCCATTTTGAATCAGTAGTTGCTTATATTAATAGTGTCTAAAATTTTACAACACACTATATGTTTTGCTATTTATACATTTTGAGAACCTTTTTCTAGTGCCTCATCTTGTTTTTATGACTTTTGTATGGTATTTTATTAGCTCATATTTTAGGATTTCTGTATGGGGTTTTACAAACTGTTTTGAAAGACTTACGGGGTTTTATTAGCTCAAGTTTTATAGGGAATTCTGTAAGGTATTCATTGGCTCAGTTTCATAAGAATTCTTTAAAGGGATTTTATTAGCTCAGATTTAAGGAATTCTGTGTGGGATGTTATAAGCTCAGTTTTATAGGATTTCTGTGTGGGATTTTATTAACCCAGTTTGATCTCTTGGAGATTTTGTTTGCTGTTATGAAGACTGAAATAATGGCAATTCATACCTTGTCCAGAGACCAGCAAATTCAAATCAAGATTTCAACAAATTTGAAGTACTTTTCTCTTTGTTATATACATATCAAAGATAAGCCATAATAATTGTGCAATAGACCATTCTTACTTAGTTTATCTTACAAGAGTCATTGAATAATAGTCTTACCATATAAATAATTAGGTGTTTATACAGTACCTATTGTACATATATCTAATAAAGTCAGCACACATTTTTTAAAAATGTTCAGAACACTTAATTTTAGATTGTTTTGAATTGTCAATTTTTCTTTTCTATGCCAGTTTGAAATAGTTGTACACATTTAGGTACGTGAAATGTACTGGTTGATATCTGTATATATAAGTTGAGTGTTGTCTACAAGGTACATGTAATCTTGTTATATTGTCAACTCAGGTTCCTTATAAAACCTGTGCCTTCATGTCTTGTACATTTCATTTTAAAATACCTCATCTTCATTCCATTTATAGTCTAGTCACCTTAATATATCAGATTTTACTTACACCTTATTTTTCCAAATCGGACCATGAATTCAGATTAGGACTGCAATGTTTCTACCACAGGTTGTGAAGTTACGGCATTTCTACAACTGACATGTAGCAAAAGTTTTTGAATTTTTTTAATGAAGTATAATTTACACAGGATAAGCTTTGTCATTCTTTAATTGCTGTATTCAGTACTTGTTGGTTTTTATAAAGCCAGAAAAATGCAATAAATATATACAGTACAGAATAATATATATATATTAAAGCATCCTCAGGTAATGTAGACAATTTATCAAATGAAAATACAGCTGTACAGTTTTACATAGAAATATATAGGAAAATTCTTTAAAAATCTTCTTCTCAAATATAGCAAAGCCATAATTGATCATATTTAATTCAAGCATCACAGTAGAAAGTTTGCAAGTTGGGCTAAGGGCGGGGCCAAATGGCCGACCAAAGTTTTACATATACATATATAGGAAAATTAAAAATATTTTGAGTTTCAGCAAAGCCATAATTGATCATATTTATATGGAAGCATCGTCAGATAGTGTAGATTCAATTTGTTCAAATGGATGACCAAAATGTGGTATTTTCGGGGCCACAATGACCCTGGCAAGTTTTACATAGAAATAAAGGAAAATTCTTTAAAAATCTTCTTCTCAAGAATAGCAAAGCCATAATTGATCATATTTATATAAGCATCATCAGATAGTGTAGATTCAAGTTTGTTCAAATTTATGACCCCCGGGGGTAGGGCGGGGCCACAATTTATATAGTTTAATATAGAAATATGTAGGAAAATTCTTTAAAAATCTTCTTCTCAAGAACAGCAAAGCCATAATTGATCATATTTATATGGAAGCATCGTCAATAGTGTAGATTCAAGTTTGTTCAAATCATACGGGGGTGGGGCGGGGCCACAATGGCCGACCAAAGTTTAACATAGAAATATGTAGGAAAATTCTTTAAAAATCTTCTTCTCAAGAACAGCAAAGCCAAAATTAATCATATTTATATGGAAGCGTCGTCAGGTAGTGTAGATTCAAGTTTGTTCAAATCAAGGCCCTGGGGTGTAGGGGCGGGGCCACAATGGCCGACCAAAGTTTTACATAGACATAGGAAAATTCTTTAAAAATCATCTTCTCAACAAGAATAGCAAAACCATGATTGGTCATGGGACTACTTTTGGATTTAAACTTTTCAATAATAAACCAATTTCTACTTTTTCCTAGCCACAGTGCTCAGGTGAGCGATGTGGCCCATGGGCCTTTTGTTAAATTTTACGGGCTTTTGTTTTCGAATTGATTTAGAGGCATATTTTGGACACTTTAAGGCCTATGATCATAAAACTTTGTCAGTTGGTACATCTTGGGTCCACAAACAACATCAACTTTAGGTCATCATGACCTACTTTTTGAATTTTATGGCTAATCTTTTCTAAAACATTTAATCCCATTATTTCAGACATCGAGAGGTTTAGAATCTCCAAATCTTGTAAGTTGATGCATCTAGAGGCGTTAAAACATATTTATTAAAAAGTAGGTCACTGTGACCTACTTTTTGAACTTTGCAGGCATTTGTTTTTAAATTGTTTAAAAGGCATATTTTGAATACTATTAGACCTAACAAATCAAATTTTGTCAGTTGATGCATCTTTGGTCTTCAGAAAATGTCGACCAAAAAGTAGGTCACTGTGACCTACTTTCGACATTTTATGGCTAGATTTAAGTATCTCGGGTACTAATTGGCTTAGAATCATTAAAAATTTGTCATTCGATGCATCTTGGGTTTTCGGAGATTAACGACCAAAAAGTAGGTCACAGTGACCTACTTTTGACATTTTATGGCTATATTTTAGTATCTCAGGTACTTATTGGCTTAGAATCATCAAACTTTGTCATTCGATGCATCTTTATTTTATTTCATTTTACGGGTTTTCGGAGCATGTCGACCAAAAAGTAGGTCACAGTGACCTCTTTTTGACATTTTATGGCTAGTTTTATGTATCTCAGGTGCTAATTGGTTTAGAATCATCAAATTTTGTCACTTGATGCATCTTAGATTTTCGGAGCATGTTGACCAAAAAGTAGGTCACGGTGACCCACTTTTGAATATCTCAGATACTGATTGGCTCAGAATCATCAAACTATGTCAGTAGATGCAGCTTGGGTTTTCGGATTTGTACAAAAAGTAGGTCACAGTGACCTACTTTTGTCATTTTATGGCTAAATTTAGGTATTTCGGGTACTTATTGGTTTGAAATCATCAAACTTTGTTATTTGATGCATCTTGGGTTCTTGGAGAATGATGATCAAAATATAGGTCACAGTGACCTACTTGTGACATTTATGGCTATATTTAAGTATTCTAGGGTACTTATTGGCTTAGAATTGTCAAACTTTGTCAGTTTATGCACCTTGGGTTTTCGAAGAATGTTGACCAATAAGTAGGTCACTGTGACCCACTTTTAAATATCTCAAGTACTTATTGGCTTAGAATCAACAATCTTGGTTCAATTAATGCATCTTGTGCCCTCAGAAAATTTCAAAAAAAAGTAGGTCACCATGACCTACTTATAGTATTTTATAGTTACATGTAAATATCTTCAGCCCTAACTGGCTAAGAATCATCAAACTTTGTCAGTTGATGCATCTTGGGTCTTAGGATAGATTGTATAATTTATCAGAAGAGCGATTCAAGGCCCTTGGGCCTGTATTAATCCAGTTTGATCTCTTGGGAGATTTTGTTTGCTGTTTTGAAGGCTGAAATAATGGCAATTCAAACCTTATCCAGAGACCAGCACATACATATGTACAATTCAAGATTTCAAAAATTTGAAAGTATTCTTCTCTTTGTTATATACATATCAAAGATAAGCCATAATAATAGTGCAATAGACCATTCTTACATAGTTCATCTTACAGAAGTCATTGAATAATAGTCTTACCATATAAATAATCAGGTGTTTATACAGTACCTATTGTACATATATCTAATAAAGTCAGCACACATTTTTTTAAAAATGTTCAGAAAACTAAACTTTATGATCGTTTTGAATTGTCGATCTTTCTTTTCTATGCCAATTTGAATTAGTTGTACACATTTAGGTACATGAAATGTACTGGTTGATATCTGTATATATAAATTGAGTGTTGTCTACAAGGTAAATGTAATCGTGTTATATTGTCGACTCAGGTTTCTTATAAAACCTGTGCCTTCATGTCTTGTACATTTCATTTTAAAATACCTCATTTTCATTCCATTTATAGTCTAGTCACCTTAATATATCAGATTTTACTTACACCTTATTTTTCCAAATTGGACCACGAATTCAGATTAGGACTGCAATTTTTCTACCACAGGTTGTGAAGTTACGGCATTTCTACAACCAACATGTAGCAAAAGTTTTTTAATGTTTTTAATGAAGTATAATTTACACAGGATAAGCTTTGTCATTCTTTATTAATTGTTGTATTCAGTACTTGTTGGTTTTTATAAAGCCAGAAAAATGCAATAAATATATACAGTATATATATGTTTATCTTTGTTTTTGACTATCACATAAATTACAGCTGTACAGTTATAAGAACTGAAGACCATTACATTTCTTTTCCACTGTCTGGAACCTTTAAATTTAATTCAAAATCACAGGAAACTGCAAGTTAGACCATGAATTTCAATAAGAATTTTATACCATATATACTTGCAATGCAGAATATTTGGAGTTACATTTTTGACATTTCAGACACTATGTCTGAATTTTAAGTCCCAGAAATCTAGGTACATGTATTTTTCTGGATGACAAAATGTGGTATTTTCTTATTGACCCTGGCAATCATTGAATAAAGTCAGAATGTGTTCTGAGGATTCTTTAAATGCAGAAAAAGAACATCTAAGGTTACTATATGAATAAAGTTCTTGCAGAGTTTAATGTTTTTATTTTTGTTCAACATTTATATAGTTTTTAACAATAAATAAATGAATAATGATGTCTTCATCCAAAAAACTACTTGGAAATGAAGCAGATGAATACAATAGACCAATTGTTTATATGGCCAAAAATTATACTGAATTACTAACTGGTCAAAGACAGTTTCCTTGTAAATAATATAACCAAAAATAAATTCTAATGCAATTGTTTTGTAAAACGTTTTGATTGGCTGATGCGCTTTGTTTGAAGCAGTAAAACAAACATTAATGAGAGTGAAAGCTTTTCATTGCGACGTCATAATAGAGCGACGCAAAAACACAATGCTCAGTGACATAATTTATTTATAAACTTTTTGATCGTTTTGAATTGTCGATCTTTCTTTTCTATGCCAATTTGAATTAGTTGTACACATTTAGGTACATGAAATGTACTGGTTGATATCTGTATATATAAATTGAGTGTTGTCTACAAGGTAAATGTAATCGTGTTATATTGTCGACTCAGGTTTCTTATAAAACCTGTGCCTTCATGTCTTGTACATTTCATTTTAAAATACCTCATTTTCATTCCATTTATAGTCTAGTCACCTTAATATATCAGATTTTACTTACACCTTATTTTTCCAAATTGGACCACGAATTCAGATTAGGACTGCAATTTTTCTACCACAGGTTGTGAAGTTACGGCATTTCTACAACCAACATGTAGCAAAAGTTTTTTAATGTTTTTAATGAAGTATAATTTACACAGGATAAGCTTTGTCATTCTTTATTAATTGTTGTATTCAGTACTTGTTGGTTTTTATAAAGCCAGAAAAATGCAATAAATATATACAGTATATATATGTTTATCTTTGTTTTTGACTATCACATAAATTACAGCTGTACAGTTATAAGAACTGAAGACCATAACATTTCTTTTCCACTGTCTGGAACCTTTAAATTTAATTCAAAATCACAGGAAACTGCAAGTTAGACCATGAATTTCAATAAGAATTTTATACCATATATACTTGCAATGCAGAATATTTGGAGTTACATTTTTGACATTTCAGACACTATGTCTGAATTTTAAGTCCCAGAAATCTAGGTACATGTATTTTTCTGGATGAAAAAATGTGGTATTTTCTTATTGACCCTGGCAATCATTGAACAAAGTCAGAATGTGTTCTGAGGATTCTTTAAATGCAGAAAAAGAATATCTAAGGTTACCATATGAATAAAGTTCTTACAGAGTTTAATGTTTTTATTTTTGTTTAAAATTTACATAGTTTTTAACAATAAATGAATAATGGTGTCTTCGTCCAAAAAACTACTTGGAAATGAAGCAGATGAATACAATAGACCAATTGTTTATATGGCCAAAAATTATACTGAATTACTAACTGGTCAAAGACAGTTTCCTTGTAAATAATATAACCAAAAATAAATTCTAATGCAATTGTTTTGTAAAACGTTTTGATTGGCTGATGCGCTTTGTTTGAAGCAGTAAAACAAACATTAATGAGAGTGAAAGCTTTTCATTGCGACGTCATAATAGAGCGACGCAAAAACACAATGCTCAGTGACATAATTTATATAACGAAACTCAACAATCTAATTAAAATTCAATGTTACATCCTCTCGCATACTCGCTACACTAACATCTAACAACATTCCATACAGGGTCACGTCAGGGGTCAAATTCTATCAACCAATCAAATTGTTGCCTGCAAAATCATCGTATATTTGTTGACATCATCGAAGTGAATAGATCTAGAGCTGTTCCGAATTTGACATCTGACGTGACCCACTATGGGGTGTTGTAAGATGTTAGTGTAGCGAGTATGTGAGCCGATCAAACATCTAGACAACAAACAAAATGCATGGTGCATTAGAATGGGAATAACTAATTTTCTAATTTGGTATTTGCGACCACTAATGCTGATTTAACGGTCGCAAATACCTTTGAAGACAGTTATTCCCTAAATGGAGTTAATATATATATTTAATTTTAGTTCTTTCAGTAAAAATCGCAAATACCAAATTTGAAGACAGTTATTCCCTAAATGGAGTTAATATATGTATTTAATTTCAGTACTTTCAGTAAACCTCTATGAGACAATAGTCTTCCTTCAATGAGTTACCTTCATACATGTACACGGAAATAAAGTACTTCACAGACAACCATCATCACATAATTTAATCTGTACTTAAATGAAAAATAAAGCAAACATTTAGTAGTTTATTAATAATCCTCTATTGAGGACAAAAACACTTTATTTAAAAGTATATTATTGCACATATTTGTCCATCTGGACGATATTTAAGAAGTTGTTCAGTCTCTACATTTGTACAAGACAAAATCCAGACACTTGAATATTGGCCGACATCTTCTAAAGTACTATGATAAAAGCCAACCAATGCGAGGCAGTGTTTCACACATTGATGGGGGAGGAGATTCTGGGGGGACTGTTTTGGGGAAGCAGCTTCCCTTTAGCTTTCTTGTTTTCAAGCTCTTTAAGAAGTTCATCCACTTTTTTCTGTAACTGTGCCTTCAACATCAATAGTTCTTTGTTCCTCAAATGAATAGGTTCCTTGAAAAAGGAAAAAGAAATGATGAAAGTATTTCTGAGAAAATATAACGAGATCTACCCTGTAAGAATAACCGTAAGGATCCTCTTCTTTTGAACTACATGTAATTATAAATGTGTCACTCTTGTGTGAGTGTGAGGTTTACCTGAGGCCTCATACGGGGGTTCCAGCGACAGTAGTACCCGGTCCACAGTTCGATTCTCCTGAGGCTCGCCACAGGGAACAGGACGTGCTGCTGTAGGGACGCGGCATATAGAGGGTTAGTAAACTCCTCCATCTGACAGTTTACAAATGACCACAAAGACACCGTCTTCTGTTTCAGACCCTACAACAAACAAGAGGCCCACGGGCCTTATAGGTCACCTGAGTATTTGTAACAACTTTCAAACACTTGAATTTGGATTAAACCAGGGGCCATGAAATTCACGATTCACAATTTTGAAAGAGGCACCATTGCTTATCATAATTATTAACTAAACATGATTACTCTATTTACTTAATACCCAGAGGTAGATCAGAGTAACAAAGAGAAAATCCACTTGCACTTTATACCCAGTTGTGCACCTCACCCTAAAGGAACCACTGACCCAGGGGCCACATATTTCAAAATTTTGCAAATTTTAAAACAAAATGGTGATTAATACCAAAGAGCAGATTTAAAAACATTAATTTATTTTCAGACTATGTAGCCCCCCCCCCCCTCCTCCTGACCCAGGGGGCATAAAATTCACAAATTTTATAGGAGGCACTCTTGCTCATCATAACTATGTGCTTAGTTAGTTTATTTAATACCCAAAAGCAGAGAAGAAGATTTTCAAAGAATAAATGCATTTTCACTAAATGATCAATAGAGCCCCCCCCCCCCCCTAACACCAGAACCCTTAACCCTGGGGCCATAAAATTCACAAATCTGGAAGAGGCACTCTTGCTCATCATAACTATGTACTTAGTTAGTTTATTTAATACCCAGAAGCAGAGAAGAAGATTTTCAAAGAATAAATGCATTTTCACTATATAATTCATAGAGCCCCACCCTAACACCAGAACCCCTGACCCTGGGGCCATAAAATACACAAATCTGGAAGAGGCACTCTTGCTCATCATAACTATGTACTTAGTGAGTTTATTTAATACCCAGAAGCAGAGAAGAAGATTTTCAAAGAATAAATGCATTTTCACTATATAATTCATAGAGCCCTGCCCTAACTCCAGAATCCCTGACCCTGGGGCCATAAAATTCACAAATCTGGAAGAGGCACTCTTGCTCATCATAACTATGTACTTAGTTAGTTTATTTATACCCAGGAGCAGAGAAGAAGATTTTCAAAGAAATAATGCATTTTCACTATATAATCTATATAGCCCTGCCCTAGCACTAGAACCCCTGACCCTGGGGCCATGAATTTCACAATTTTGGTAGAGGACTCAATGCCCATTACATTCATGTCAACAGTTTGCCTGCTTGATGTCCAGGAGTAAAGAAGAAGATTTTAAAAGATTGCACTAATTTTAGTGGTTTTGGCCCCACCCCTCAGGCCCCAGGGGGGTGGGGACCATGAAATTCACAATTTTTGTTCCCCTTCACCCATAGATGCTGTATACCAAATTTGGTTGAAATTGGTTCAGTGGTTTCAGAGAAGAAGCTGAAAATGTTCAAATGTTAACACACGACACACGACACACGACGCACGACGCACGACGCACGACGCACGACGACGGACGAAAACGGATAGCAATAGGTCACCTGAGTTACTCAGGTGACCTAAAAATATAATGTCAGTCCTTAATCCTCCTTATAATGCACAAAGATACTGTACTACAGCATAGAAAATAGCAGATCAGGTTCATTTGTAGTGTGATGTGTGACAATAGAAATCTCTTTACAAGTCCCTTTTCTTGTGTAACATTATCTAATACATCTAGATCCCATTCTTATACATGAACAATACTGTCATAAGCTAAAAAAAACAAATGCTATTCATTTCTTGTATCCACTCTATTGGTCGGAATAGATAACACTGCTATTATACAATTAAGTGTGTTTGTATTATACAACTGTGTGTGTTTGTTTATGGGTGTGTTATGTCATGTGCAAAACGGAAGTGTCATAATTTGCATGTTGAATGCTGCCTTGATTTACAGATATGATCTTCCTGAGGATTTGCTCTGCCCTGTGGTGCCCTTGTCTTTTTAAATAGAATCATAAAGAGTAGTGTTAATCTTTCAATAAAAAAAAATAAAGAATGGACAAGGGAGACAATTAAAGCTGACCTTTTCTGTTCTCTGTTGTTCACAGTTACACAGGAAGGTACCAAACAAGCAGCTGAAGGCATTGTCAATGATGGTGATCAGGAAGTGCTCATTGAATTCAAAGGCGTTAGGAAACTACAACAAAAGTCATAAGTTATAAAAGTAGAATGTACTAGCATATCAAGGAATAGGTAAAGCCAGTATGGTTCTCAGATTTTCTGATATTGTTGTGTATTAGAAAATTTTTTTTTAATGTTTTTCTTGATAATTCGATGGATTAAACTAATTTTAATGAAATTTTTATAACTAGATTGACCAATATTTTGTTATTTTAGAAAGTTTGTACTGCTATGGAAAAAAAAAGTACATGTATATGTTTCAAAAATAAGAAGCATATGGCCAATAATTATTAGGTCTAAGTCTTTCTCTCCATTCTGCAGTAATGAAATTTTACAGTTATGAACTCATTTTTTTTCTTTCTTACAATGATCTATCTCACAGAAGAGCTATTATAGTTACATGTCTAAAAAATAGACATTATAGAAATTATATAAATCTATATTCTTTTGATCAGAAAAAAACAATGGAATCAGACATACCTGATGAGTCATTTGCCAAACACAGTCAATGAATTGTAAGAATACGGGTGATCGGTCAGTGTCTGAGTGTCTATCCTCCCCATGTCCAATACGCTGGGCAAACTTGTGACCAAAACTCAACCATTCCTTCTCAATAAGCACCTCAAAGCCCTTAATAGTTCTGTAATAAGGGTCTAACATCAGGGATGCCAGACTCGTCAGCTGTAAGATTTAAACATCACTAAAATTTCAGGACTGGTAACTCTTAAAGTGAAATACTTTAAAACAAACCACTAAAATATCAATTGTTTTGATTGTTCAAATTTTTCCTTCAAACTTCTTACAGATCCAAAATGTCAAGTAAAGAGCTCTGAATATGACCACTTTATGTAGTTCCTTACCTGGGCAGTTCTGTCCCAGCCATCACTACAGTGAACCAGTACTGAGGTCTTAGCACTCTCCACTTTATCTGCAACCCTTAGAGCACCTGCTAAAATTTGCTGTAACAGATATTGTATATAACTTAGCAAAATACATAAAAAGAATTGCAAACATTGAGTGTGACATGAAAACCAATAACAGAATACACTATTAAAACAGGTATTAAAACAGACCTTAATGTGATCCAGCCAGTGGGTTGCCTCAATGTTGGACAACCATTTACTGTCATCAATGGTTGGAAAAACAACTTCACGAAGTTTCCTCAGACTGCAAACAAAATATTTAATACAGATTACTTTCAATATTTATCTGGTAACTGGGGTTGTCAACAAGTATTTTGTTACTTGGGTAGTTATTGGAAATTTGATGATACTTAGATCATTGCTACATACCTGTCCTTCATCACGTGAATGTTATGAATGTCAAGGAAAGCTATCTCAGCATTTGTGTACCATTCCTCTCGCTCATACCCCCCGCCTTTGGCCTGAAAAAAAAAATCAACATTTTCCTTATTCAAAGATTCAAAGGTTGAACTTAAGAAATGACAGTCTATTGATAATGTGTTTTCAGAGTAAAATAAGTCAACTTTGACATTTTCCATTCAAAGATTCTTTGAACTTCAATGAACTTAGAAAATAACAAAAGTTTTGATTCCATGTTTTTGCAGTAAAATAAGTAAACAAAAAACATTAAACATTAGTTACCATATTTGCTAGGGCATTAACAAGAGGCCTGGCATCCATGATAAAGAGTTTGTGTGACTGTGCATTGGCGTCCATGATGGTCTGAATATAGTGCTCATCTTGTCGATTTCTGCGGAGTGGAGCCCCTCCCACCAGGGGCTGGGCAGATCGGGTGATGGTAGCCTGGCTTTCTTGGTGGATCCAGGACAACACCTGTTAATAAATAAGATAGTAGTCCATGAATAGCATTGTTGTGCATTTTATTATAAAATGTTAAAGTTAAAATGTGAAATACAAGAGGCCCAAGGGCCTTGAATCGCTCTTCTGATAAATTGTACAACCTATCACTTGTATTTGAAGCCTCTAACCCTAAGTATCCTAAGACCAAAGTTGCATCACCTGACAAAGTTTGATGATACTTAGCCAATTAGGACTACTTCTTGGTCTACATTCTTGGAAAACCCAAAATGCATCAACTGACACAGTTTGATGATTCTAAGCCAATAAGTACCAGCAATACTTAAATATAGCCATAAAATGTCGAAAGTAGGTCACTGTGACGTACTTTTTGGTAGACATTCTCCAAAACCCAAGATGCATCAACTGACAAAGTTTGATGATTCTAAGCCAGTAAGTACCAGAGATACTTAAATATAGCCATAAAATGTCGAAAGTAGGTCACCATGACCTACATTTTAGTCAACATTTTTCAGAGTCCAAAGATGCATCTGCTGACTAAGTTTGATAATTCTAAGCCAATAATTACCTGAGATATTCAAAAGTAGGTCATCGAGACCTACTTTTTGGTCGACATTCTCCGAAAACCCAAGATGCATCAACTGACAAAGTTTGATGATTCTAAGCCAATAAGTACCTAAGATACTTAAATATAGCCATAAAATGTTAAAAGTAGGTCACTGTGACCTAATTTTTGGTCGTACTCTCCGAAAACCCAAGATGCATCAACTGACAAAGGTTGATGATTCTAAGCCAATAAGTACCGGAGATACTTAAATATAGCCACAAAATGTCGAAAGTAGGTCACTGTGACCTAATTTTTGGTCGTCACTCTCCAAAAACCCAAAATGCATCAACTCACAAAGTTTGATGATTCTAAGCCAATAAATACCTAAGATACTTAAATATAGCCATAAAATGTCGAAAGTACGTCACCGTGACCTAATTTTTGGTCGTCACTCTCCGAAAACCCAAGATGCATCAACTGACAAAGTTTGATGATTCTAAGCCAATAAGTACCGGAGATACTTAAATATAGCCATAAAATGTCGAAAGTAGGTCACTGTGACCTAATTTTTGGTCGTCACTTTCCGAAAACCCAAGATGCATCAACTCACAAAGTTTGATGATTCTAAGCCAATAAATACCTAAGATACTTAAATATAGCCACAAAATGTCGAAAGTAGGTCACTGTGACCTAATTTTTGGTCGTCACTCTCCGAAAACCCAAAATGCATCAACTCACAAAGTTTGATGATTCTAAGCCAATAAATACCTAAGATACTTAAATATAGCCATAAAATGTCGAAAGTACGTCACCGTGACCTAATTTTTGGTCGTCACTCTCCGAAAACCCAAGATGCATCAACTGACAAAGTTTGATGATTCTAAGCCAATAAGTACCGGAGATACTTAAATATAGCCATAAAATGTCGAAAGTAGGTCACTGTGACCTAATTTTTGGTTGTCACTTTCCGAAAACCCAAGATGCATCAACTCACAAAGTTTGATGATTCTAAGCCAATAAATACCTAAGATACTTAAATATAGCCATAAAATGTCAAAAGTAGGTCACCGTGACCTACATTTTGGTCGACATTTTTCAGAGTCCCAAGATGCATCTCCTGACCAAGTTTGATGATTTTAGGTCTGAAGGTAATCAAAATATGCCTTTTAAACAATTTGAAAACATATGCATGCAAAATTCTAAAAGTAGGTCACAGTGACCTACTTTTTCTTAAATATGTTTTAAGGTCCCAAGATGCAGCAACTTACAAGATTTGATGATTCTAACCCTTTCATGCCTGAAATAATGGGATTAAATGTTTTAAAAAGGTTAAGTCATAAAGTTCAAAAAGTAGGTCACGGTGACCTACTTTTAAGTTGACGTTGTTCAAGGACCCAAGATGCATCAACTGACTAAGTTTCATGATCATAGGCCTTAAAGTGTCCAAAATATGCCTTCAAATCAATTTGAAAACAAATGCCCGCAAAATTAAAAAAGTAGGTCACCGTGACCTACTTTTGAGTTAACATGATGTGAAGTCCTAAGATGCATCAACTTACAAGATTTGATGATCCTAGTCCTTATAGTAAGCAAAATATAAACATTTTTATTAATTGTAAATTTAGGTCAACTTTAAAGTGACCTTGAGACCACGCCCTTTGCCCCAGGGTCATGCCTTGAACAATTTTTAATCTTCAACATATCCTGATCCTTGTATGTAAGTTTGGTGAAAATCTGCCTGGCAGTTCTGGAGAAGAAGATTTTTTAGCAACTAGTACTTTTGGTTTTGTTTTCCTGATTATCTCCCCTTGTTTTAGGGTCCCAACCCTTATTTTAGTATAAATGGTAGCCCTTAGGCCAAGGATACCCTGTGGAAAATTTGGTACTGATTGGCCAAAGGGTTCTTGAGTTATGGCCCATATTCTAAAAAGTTAACGCACACCGCACACTGCACAAATGGCCATAGCATTAGCTCTTTCAGCCTTTGGCTCAGAAGAGCTAAAAATGTGAAATAAACGTTCAATATTTCTGTATGTAATCATTTCTATTTAATTGTTCAGCTTATTAAAGCCACACTTACAGGTAGTCTATTTCTGGATCGATGTGAAGCTACTTGCTTGAGGTCATCATCTGACACAGCAGCAGGGACTACAAGCTGTAAATAGTCAAATGCAGACATGTATCTTACTTCTAGAGGAAACATCTAACTCAGAGAGAATTTTTGTCATCAAAGATTTACTTGATGCTAATTCCTGATAATCTTACCACAGAGGGATATGTGTCACAAAACTCGTATTTCTCATTTATTTTGGTGATTCTCCAACTCTCCGGAGGAAGGCCCTGGAAAACAAAATTATTCTTAATTATAATCAACTCAAAAATTAATCTATAAACAGACGAAAAAGACTATTTGGTAAATATTCTTTAGAAATATATCCCTTTAGTTAATTAAATAAGACTCCCAAGGGCCACAACACTCCCCCATCACATTTTGTTCTCCAGAGTTCTAAAATGTATTTTTCCCTATATATTTTTATGAAATAAGTTATAACCCATATTGTGGCCTAATCCTAGCTCCAAGGGGATCTGACTTTAAGAAACTAAATCCATATTTGAAGACATTCTGATTATTAATTAGACTAGCTTTGACATTCTGTACTGGGGAGGAATTGTTTTCCTATTTACAGGTACAAGTACATGTATTATGCAAATGTGATTGCTAATTTTAATGACAAAATGAAAAATTAATCCGAATTGAAATTGATTGCAAATCAGCAAAATTTAATGTACCAGTATTACGTCCTTGAAAGTGGAGGATGTGGCTCTTTATGTTAAAGTAAACAATCTGAATTTCCTTTAACCAAGAATCTGAATGTTTTTGGCAATTTTGGTTGAAATTGACCTAGTGGTTACTTGAAAGTGAGAACTGAGTTTACAAATGATACTTGATACACAGACAGATGCCAGATACTCATTGATCAGAAAATTATTATATAATAAAATTTAATTAAGAAAGATAATCCCCAGCCCCCCTTCCCATGGAAAAAGTCCTGAAAAAGTTAAAACTAGGGGATATTAAAGGGACTTTATTGTTTGCCTTTGGACCAACAACTACCTGTCTCCTGTATTCTTCTTCTGGGTTATACACCTTCCAACCATCAATGCCATAGTCTTCTTTAAATTCAAAAGCAAACAGTTGCTGAAACAAGAATATAACATGATGTAACTTCAACTAAAGATATAATTTATTATACATATTACATAACTACAACTGAAGTCATAATCTTTCTTTCATCATCAAACTTATGTGTCATTCAGAAGAATGGGAACTTTAAAAAATAAGATTTATTTTTGTAGAAACCTCGAAAACTATTTTTAATCATTGTTCTGACCCATACAGTACCTGTTTGTTTGTAATGGGAAATGCAAACTGTTGTATTTTCTCAAACACCTGTCTCCTAGAGTGATTTTCTTGTCTGTGGGCGAATCTAATGTTCCTCACATCCTGAAATGGTAAAAATCATATCCACTACTGACAAGATATTCCCTGAAGGAAATCACATGAATAGAATAAGAAAACACAACAGTTGGTTTCTTGCCTTGCAAAGAAGATCAATTCCATAGGCATTCTCTCCTCGACTGGTAGCACCTCCGATTTTCTCTATCTTACTGATAACTGATAACTCCTAAAGGCACGTCCAGTACAGACGGTGAGTCCTGATAAAAAGATTTGACACATTTAAACTGTTTTAATAATAACATTTCAAATACTGTATTGTGTACATTATTACTATATGTAAATCTTTTTTTCAGTTTTATGTAGGCTTTATGAAGATATTATACATGTATTTACCAATTTCTTTTCTTAATGATATTGCAAAAGAAGTTTTACCAACTGAAGGTATACTACTGGTTTTGTCTGAGCACATAGATTTTTAGCCAAGTTTATTTGATTCTAAAACTAACCCGTTCCACACTTTTAAAGTACAGTTTGTAGTTGGTTACTGTTAATGTTCCCTTGATTGGTCTGTTGTATGGGCATAGATACGTCACATTTTCATCTAGAAAAATAATTGCAAGTAAAAGTTACATAGAATTTAAATAAGTATTGTCAGGAGACTAGAGGTTGAGTGTGCTGTGCCCTATCCTCCTACAAAAATTGATCAGAATGCCTAGGAAAGAACACAGCTCACACAGTTTCAATTGTATTATGTTTAATATATACCTATTCCTTGCACTTTTTCTCCAGGAAGTAAAGGGATTTCTTCATTTCCAGCAACTTTTGATGACTCCAAAAATGATACCTGAAATAGTTGTACAATAAAAGATTTGATATTCCTGTCTACATCAAAATTCAAATTCTAATCTTGTTTAGTATTTGAACTGTACAATAGTTGCTCATAACCAGAGCAGTGACAATTTGTGTGTAATGGTCAAATGGACACGCCTACTTCGATTTATCAAATAAAGTAGATTAAATCCTCTTAAAAAGCCAATAATTTTCTACTTCCTTTATATGCCGACGTTTAATCCTCCACAAAAATCTCAACAATATATGTTGTCAACAAACTTACTGAATTATCACAGAAAAAAATAAGCTACAAATTCGAATTTCCTCGAGCAATAAAATATTCTTTTATAAAAATGTTACGTTGCAATAATAAAAGTTTTCTGAGTAAAAGTACAGTCATGTAAAAGTCTTGCCTTTGCTGGTTCCGCTGCCGCTGGTTGTTCTCCTGAAGAGTTTGAGGAAGTTGAACAAATCGACTTGGACGGTGATACAGATTCCTTGGAACTATTCGTGGACGATGGTTCCGATATAGAGTCTGTGCTTGTCCCTGTGTTAACAGCTAGACTGTCTTTATCCGTTCCGTCCATCCTAGTCTTTCGTACTCCAAAGAATTAATATGAGTCCATTTATTTTAACCAAAACATTTCTTCTATTTTGACACTTAATCTTCCACCACAAGGTGTCGCTCTATTTACATCTTTTGTGGTTTTTTCTACAATGAAGAGCTATATTGAGTAAGTTGTACTATGATTCTTGCTAAGTGGCAGACACTGACTCTGCTGGTCGGAGATGAGCGTTATTTCAAGTTCGAACTTTTGAAAATATTGGACTTCTTTCGAACTTAGTAGTAAACTTCATTGCATTTCGTTGCTGTGCATCTTAATGACTTATAAAGAATTTTTAAAGTCACCGAGGAGACCAAGGAAACAGAAGCTAAGATTTTTGAAAACGAACACTTTAAATGACGTGAGCAAAATTTTAGAAAGTGTCAAATTTTATTTAGAGGAAGGACCCAGTTTAAAATGACCCCTCCCCCCTTTAATCAATTCCAAATGACTAAGCAGATTTAATGTTTTGAAAGTTACATGTACAGATAAGAATTTAGGCCTGTAATCACAGGCGCTTGCTTCATACACTGCGTTAGTTTTCTTCTATAAGTGTTATTATATAGTAGAAAACTAACGCACTGTATGAAACAAGCGCATGTGCCTATAATAGTTTATAGAGATGTGCATGTTATCTAAAAGTGATTGTCTTTATTTTACAATAAAACGTGCAATGTGGCACATCAATAATTTCAACATTTTTTTTATTTATAAAACCTAAATTACATGAGTATAATTCATGTACACAGGTTATTATAATGTAGAATAAGTTCCTAGTTTTACACGAATAGATTACTATATTAGTAAATGGACCTTACATGTATTACACTTTAATGAGGGGAGTTTAAGGGTTGACTGGGGTTTTATCAAAATTTACTACTTAAAACAATTTTTTGGACTTCCTTTTTAATTTCTGAGTCGTACATCTGTTAGAGTTATCCCCCCTCTGAGAAATATCCTGAATCTGCTCCTGTACAACATATATTTTTACTCTTTACTAGTATAGTTGGAATCGAAATCATAGGTGGCAATACTACAGGTACCCAAAGTATGGTTACCCCTAACCCGTCCTCCCACCCCAAATTATATTATTTTATTATACCTCTACTGATTTTTTTCTATATAAAAATAAGGCAGTAAAATGTGAATAATTCTCTAGAAATCTCAGTGAATGGATTAATTTCCCGTGCGTTAGTTAAATGAGCTAATCCCTGCTTCGGAAGCTAATTCCCCGGTTATCCGTCCTCTAGATTTTACTTTTGTATCGGTCTAATATGTTAATGGACTAATTCCCCGTGCATTAGTCTTGAAGCTAATTCCCCACCATTCGTAATCCTTTATTTGTATCGATATAATAAAACAGTTAAAAAGTATATAATTGAAGGAGTTAGCAAGATTCCAGTTCCCCAAGACCAGAACTATTTCCCGAGGCGAGCAACTGTATAGTAAGAACCTATATTATAATTTCTCATAAAGATGAGTGAGTTTTCTTTGTTAATCACACCAATATTTCGTTTTACGCAAGCAAATTGTATTTTTATTTTTAAAAAATTATTATTTTCACAGATAGCCATGTAGATCTGATAAAGATGAACCAGGGAACCAGGTTAATTAGTTGGATGGCTTACGGACTAAATTATTAATTTTGTAAATGCGGCAAAATTACGACAGACTGTACATAGTGGTATATATACTTTTGCTGGAGTAAATACTATCAATGAAAAAAAAAACATATATAAACAATATTCCTGTTTAAAATTAATAAATTTGCACAAAAAGAAATTTTTTACATATATCTGGGTGAAAATTTATTTGAATAATACATGACGTACTAAATAAAAAATAATTTTTTCCCGGGGTATCTGTAAACTTTTCTATGATTGTGACCGAGAATCTTGCATCGTCATTAACTGTTGGACTATGCAAATATTTTCACTGATATGAAAACGTTACTTATTTATATTTAGACAGGTAAACACGGACTCAGGTACACTAAGGTAGGTGTTTCCATGTTATGACCACATTGTTAATCAAGGTCATGACTGTTTTATACGTAGAAACTGTGGGTCATTTCTATGAACTGCAATTCATATCATTCTAATTATTAGGCCAATAAACACAGCCTAAGGTTGCACTTAATTGTCGTAATTTTCTTAGTTAGATTACTAGTATACCATGTTCTAGATTATGAAGAATAAAAGTAACTAAATGGTATCTTTTAAACCTTTAAGAAGATATACATGTAAGATCCAGTTTATTTATATGTAAAAATGTTGATTCAATATTGCGATCAACCTCCGTACACGCTGAACGCATGGAACTCTAAACGTGATTTTTTCTATTTCATGGCCACGAATTTATTAAAAGAATTTTTTACAATGCAATATACAAACTATCGTAAAACGTTTGATTTAAGACAAATTCTTCTATCATAAAATTATCTTGTTTCCCTCTTGATGTTTGCATCGACATTCGTGTACTGTATATACGAGTACAACATAACATTATACATTTAGAACCATTTCCAGGTTAGTTTGGACTTTCAGTGAGGCGTGGCATTCAGTCTCGGCGATAACGTAATTAGCGTCTGTCAAATGGCGAATAGATTCTCATTGGTTAAGAAATTAATAACATCAGGAACTTTAAAATTGTTCTTGACAACGATGAGACGACTTAAGTTCCACCTCTTTGCCGGACGAGACAATGTTATTGGTTATTCGATACACTAATTGGCATTTGCCCGAATTTCTACCACATGTATATTTCAACAGTGAATGAAAGCTGGGTAAATTTCAGAAGCTAATTATGTAACGTCGAGAATGCCACACTTTACTAAAAGTACAAACTAACCTGGCAATGGTTCTATTGACTGAGTTCGAGGGCAACATGTTTTTTGTCGGACCCAAGAACCAAACTGTCTGCCTAACACCGTTAGGCCGAAGGCAGACAATTTGGTTCGAGGGTCGACAAAACGCATTTTGCCCTCGAACTCAGTCAATAAATGTTTTGTTACACCTTTCATTTTATTTTAATATTTGACATACATGTACATGTCTTTTGCACTGTCTCCCGTGATGTTACATCAGGTCCATCATTGTTGAACACCAACGAATGAAAATGAGATTAAGCTCAGCCCATTTTATGAAATAAGTGGTCCAACATCTCACGGACACCGATCGGTCCAACATCTCACTCAGCGGTTAAACATCGATTTTTTATGCCTGCTCACCAAAACATTAGAAATGTTAGACTTTGTTTTCGTATCGATTTGTATAGGAACAAATGTTTTAAAGGTATAACAAAAAGATTTGTCCTTGTTAATGTTGAAGGATTTTCCTACTTTCATTTTATCCTCTTTGGGCTGAAAGTTCTACCTTTTTTCTGAAGTTCTGTGTTTCCCCTTTTAAATCAGGGATGGTTTAACTTGGTTAGCTTTCGACAATCAATAGAATATGTCCGATATTATCTAGCTATATAATCAAACCTTTTCTTTAATCAAACCTTTACTTTTAAAGACTTGTATGTCAACGAGTTGTCCATCGGGAAGCGTGAGATGTTGCGGACAGTATGCTGGATGGCCTTACTAGGGCTAATGCTGAAAGAAGGGTCACCACATCGTATCGTCATCAACACCTGGCCCGTCACTAACTCAACAATGGCAGGTAGGGAGATTAATTCAACATCAGTTTTATCATTCTTCTGTATGTAAATTGTGGAAAGACGTCCCATGAGTACAAAAAATGTGGAGACAATTACACTAAATATCGAAAATTCAGCTCGAGCACTTCGTGTCCCCTATATGCATGTTATATTTTTGTTTTAGAATATTGTAAATTTAAACAACTTTTTAACCAGATGCGTATCAAAGAAAAAAGTGAAGACAACGACTAGTGAGGGATCCAAAATCTATATATGAAAAATACAATTCTGAAAAGAGGGTATCAAACAAGGACCCCTGGAAATCCCAGAAGTGGGATCAGGTGCCCCAGGAGAACCGGACACGTCCGCCGTGAGCCCTTTGTATTGATCAGTAGACGTATTCAAATTCAGTTTAAAAATAAAAGACTAACAATTGGTCAGAGAGAAATCAGTCGCCCAATGCTAACAAGGCCACTTGAAATGCCGACATTAAGCGAGGTTCCATGTAACGTCAACTTATCTGTCAATCGCCTGCCTTCTTTATTAAAGTTGATCGAAATCGGAGCATGCTCTTGAGTATCAAGTAAAAATGGGAAATCTTCACATTATATGCAGTATATAGTTTTGGGATAAAACTACATAAATACATGTATGAAACGTTGAAAACTGAAAAGTTGAAGTCATCTTGTTTGTCATATAGTTTTGTTGTCTTATATTCTCTATAGTCAGTAACACATCCGACTGTGATAATACTTGTGCAATCAGATTTATGCATAATACAATTTACATTAGAAGAAATCTTTTGTGTGTGTAAAATTTAAAAATTACCAATACCTACAGCATGGACAACGCTACTGAATAACGGAAGTGCTGTTGATGCTGTTGTAAGCGGATGTAGTCAGTGCGAGGCACAGCAATGTCGGGGCACTGTAGGTGCAAACGGAAGTCCAGATGAAAATGGCGAAACCACTCTTGATGCCATGATAATGGACGGGTGAGTAAAGCCTTTACATTTGGTAAACTACAACGAAATCTTTGTTTGGAAAAAATCCTTAGTGAATTTCTCAGAGCCTGCATTAAGCCCGTTTCGAAATGCAGAGAAAGTTAAAATTTCAAAACTTTTTTTTTCATGGTGTAAAATTAAAGAAACTTAGATAAGAATTAAGATGCTTTTAAATCTCATATTCTTGAAGGACGACTATGGACGTGGGCGCTGTTGGTTGTTTACGGAGGGTGAAGACGGCCATTGCTGTGGCTCGAGCAGTGATGGACCACACCACTCACACGCTTCTTGTAGGAGATCTGGGTACGCCAAGTGTTTGAATTCTTATGAACGGCTGCATGCCAGTATAAACATTCCTTTCTAAATTAAACATCTTTCATTGTTTTCAGCGACTAAGTTTGCTTTGGAAATGGGATTTGCCGAGACAAACCTCACCGGGAACAGATCCTTGAACATTTGG